GAGATGGCGAGAGGTGGATGGGGGGTCCCGGTCATCCTCCCTGTGCGTGTTCCCAGGCCCTGACGGTTCCCTGAGGCTGTTTGTCCTAAGCCTCTGATGGCCTCTCCAACTGCCCCTCTCTGCTGATGGGGGCTTGGGAAGGGCTCTCTGAACGGGGTGCCAGAGGTGACCCCCAAAGCAGACCCCCAGAGTGGCAGGACAGGACCCCATAAGCCTGGGCTTGCAACGCAGCCAGGTGGGCGCTCTGGTGGCTGTGCCAAGCTTCTCCCCAGGGCTGGCCTTGGCCGGGCCCCCAAGGCCGTGAGCCATTGGGGAGGGAGGTTCGCAAGAGCTCAGTCTCATCACCCTGATTCCAGGTCTCTGTCTGAGCCAAGGGAGGGTAGGGACTGGGTGGTCCACACACCAGGGGTCACTCAGGCCACCCTAGCTGGAAGATGGTCAGCCTCACTAACTCTGGCTCCCTTGGGGTGCCTGCGGGTTTATGATAAGGGGGAGACGTGGGTTACTCAGCGGCCAGACGGCAGAGCATCTAGGGAGAGAACAGGCCAGCACGTGGAGGAGGGCCAGGGACTCGCGGCTCCCCGGCCACATTCCAGCCACGCAGTCTGAATCCCATCCTGCTTGCTTCAAGGGACAGGAGCTTGGGGTCCTGGGACTGTGGCCATGGGCCCACTGCAACACCATTTCCTGGGCACAGGGAGCTTATTAAAGCACTGTCACTGAGTCCCCACCCCCAGACCCACCTAATTTCTGGGGTGGGCTGGGTGTCTGCAATTTAATTTGCTCTCTGGGAGACTCTAACCACACGGGGAGCTAGGTGTTTTCTTAAAAGGGTGTTCTGAGGTCATCTGGGGAAAGGGCCAGGGTCTTAGCCATCAGGATGTCACCAGGAGACTGATGTGCCTCAATGCCTGGGCCTCACCTGGACTCGTGAATCAGCGCCTACAGAGGTGGGACCAGGTGCTGGTCTTTGAAAGAACTGTCCCCAGGAGATGGGGAAACACAGGATGTGAATTCCTGGTGTGAGCACCCTGCTCCGCCCTCCCCACCTACTGCCAACAGACCGCTCTATGCCAAAGTCACAGCTGGGGTCACACGTCCGGAGGGGACGCCCTCTCCTCTGCCAGGCTCGTAGACTAACTGTACCAGGATTCTTCTATCAGGTGGGAAAAGGTGGAGGGGACCCCGTCCACACGGCCAGCTGGGGGGGATAAGGCTCCTAAGCAGCCTCTGCCTCTTTGTCCTCAGCTGCTTCCCCTGGAAAGAGGGTCTCACTCACCCCCTTCTCATGCCACAGGAAGATGTGGCTGCAGGATGACCCTGTGGGCAAATTCACTCATCACCAGGAAAATCGCTGGGGGGCCTCTCCGGAGCAGTTGAGAAGGGGTGGCTTCACAGGTCTGGTGGCTGGAGAGGTGATAGACCAAAACCAGACCTTAGTCCCAACAAAGGGGGAGACAACCAAGGGAGGCGCTAATGACCCCCAACAAGGGAGGCGATAAAGCTAATGACGGGGAGTGGATGTGGCTTTTAGGACTTAGGAGCAGGTAGCTGACCCATCTGTCTGCTCTGCAAAACTCAGTGCGGAGCCTGTGAGGAGCTCTACACAGATGCCTGCGTGGCTGGGCATCTGTGCAGTGGCCACTGGGCTCCCTGACCCTCCCTGCCGGAGCCGGGAAGCCCAGGCAGGCAGGCACCAGGAGGCCGGCTGGGGAGCGGGAGCGGACAAGTGCAGGCTGCTGTGGGTCTCGTAGGATGTGTGTCCCCGGATCTGCTGTGGGGCAGGTGGTCCCAGCCTCAGCAAGGCGCTGAGGGTGCTGGGCGGGCCTCGTGGCCTGCGGGCCCTGAGCACACTTTAGGGGCTCCCTTTCAGTCCCCAGAGCACCCGCAGCCTCCCAGGTTATTAGCATGGCTTCTGTCACAACTGGTGCTGAGGTGCGGGCCTCCCGGGGCCACCTCTGTGTGCGGCTGCCCACCCCCGGCTCAGCCACGGTGCCAGCTCTGGATGCTGAGAAAGGGGCAGGGACCAGGGGGCCAAAGAAATGGCTCCAGGCTGCTTCCTTTGCCAAAAAAATAAAAAGTGGAACCACATGGCTGGGCATCTGTGTAGTGGCCACTGGGCTCCCTGACCCTCCTTGCCGGGGCCTACTTGAATGTGCCAGGTGGCCTCTGTGCCCAGTGACATGTCAGAGGAAATGGCATTTTCCTGCCAACCAGCTGTGCCATGTGCTGAGAGTTCTGTCTCCCTACAGCTGCCCCTGGCTCACATGCTCGGAACTCAGGGCCAGGGAAGCAGCAGTGTCCTCTGGACTGGGGGTAAACGTGCCCACCCAGCCTGCAGGAGGTGCTCCAAACCTGACCACAGGTCCTCGCACTTTTCCCTCTCCCTCCTACTCTCTCCCTACCTGCTCCTCCTGTTTTCTCTCTCTTTCCTTCAGTTTCTAACTAACTGGTACGACCACTTTAAGAGGTCACTTCCAATGGCATCAAAATTGAAATCACACTCGCTCCTGAGTTCAGCAGTTCCATGTCAACACCTTCTGTCACTTTCCGTCACCAGTGCTCCTCTGGGGGGAAACCGAGACAAGACACAGAAGACGCTCCATGCAGTGTGTCTGTCTTAGCCCAGGGTGAGACATGGCCCACATGCTGGCTTCCAGGAGGTGACAGCACCTCTAAGCAACACAAGGCCAAGCAGCTGTTCCAGAGAAGGGGACAGGCTCAGTGACAGAGGGCGTGGGGACTCTCCAAACACGTCAGGTCGCAGAGGAAAAGGAGAAAAGCATGAGGAGTATGCCAGACCTTGTGTAAAAATAAAAGGGTGGGGCCGGGAGGGGTTCAGCAGTCACCGAAGGGTTTTCTTTCTTAAAAATAGATCTGAAATAAAGATCACAAATCGGCAGCGTTTGCATACTCTGGAGGTGCGCTCAGTTACTGGTACCCGCTCTGTTTCAAACTTTGCATTTGCAAAATTTTAAAAATTAACAAAATTTGAATGGGGAGGTATTTTATATAAATGCATTTATTCTGGGATCGAGGGTCAGCTACCCCTTCAACAGCGCTCACAGAAGGGAAACAGAAGCCCAGCGCTTCACTTGAAGCCAGAGCTGTGAAGCCAGAGCCGACTCCACCCCAGCAGCTCAGCACCGAGTCTGCCCTCACAACCCTTCTGCGCTCACGACCCCTACGGCGCATTCAGTCCTGGAGGCTCCAGGAAGCTGCACCAGAGACTGGGTGGCTGGAATGATGGGACAGGGACTTGTCCCCACAGGGACAGTCTGCTTTTTGGTACTACTTGAATTGTTTACCATGTGCACATTGCTGTTTCTAAAATGATTTCTTAAAGTTGGGCCCATCAGAGTTACCAAGAAACAACAGAATCCTGACAGGCAGGAGGAGGCAGCAGGGGCCTCCTCTAAGAGGCCAAGGAACTGCTCCAAGACCACAGACCCCAACTCCCTGGCCAGTGTCCACTGTCCTGGCACCTCTGGGCCAGAGGGTCCTTAGTGCCCGTCTGCACAGCACTCCTCCCCTGCAGGCTTCCGGTGCTGACCAGGACCCTGCCACGGTGGACATGTGACCCCAGAGGGCCATGGGGGTTGGTTCAGGGGTGGGTACCTGATCTAAGCCCAGGCAATCAGAAAACTTTCCTTTTGGTCTTGGAACCCAGAGTGCCAATAGTTGGGACCACAGCTAGTCTCAGGGTCCGAGTCCAGAGAGGGAAGAACAAGGACACCTCTCAGGTTCAGTCACACCTGGATGCCATCACCTCAAAGCCAGCCCTGCCTCCCCCATGTCTGGTTACATTCAGCTCAGTCTGAGTTGGGTCCCAACTAAACAGAAACCCACAGCCTCAAGCAAGGAAGTCTCAGATCCCGGGGGGCTTGCCTCTCGCAGTGGGTACCCGACTCTGCGGAAGATGGCGCCCCGGCCCCGCCTCTTACTGTGTGGCCTCAAGAGAGTCACTTAACCCCTCTGAGCCCCAGATGGGGTGCCTGAGCCTCTACCACCTGCCTGTGAGGGTGGTCCTGAGCATGGTCTTCTTCCGTCCCGGGGACGCGAGTAACTAGAAGCGCTACTGAAAGGGTGACCGCAGCTGCTCCCCACCACACCGACCCCCACTGGAGGCTCTGGAGGGAGGACCCCAGCTACAGGACAAAGCAGCAGGAAGGAGGAGCTGGAGCCCGATTCACTGTCCCCTCTCCAGAATGCCCATGTGACCACATCCACAAGCTCCCTGCTCCTGGTGATCTCGGCCACGGGGGCCTCGACAGAATCCAGAGCAGCAGGAACGTGGGTCAGGATTTTCATGTCCCTGGAAGGCCCCAGCATCCCTCGGTCATGTCCCCTGCAGGTGTCCCCTCAGCCCCCCAACTCTGCCAAGGATGGCCCCTCCTCCCTCGGGCCCATGGGTGGGGTGGCCCCGGGTGCTAGCCTGGGCTTCTGCAGTCTCTCGGGATGCTTGCCCTCACTCTGTCAATAACCCCGTCACCAAACACTCTTCAAAGGGCCGAATTTGAGTATGTGATGTTTTTGGTCGGGCCCCAACTAGTGGACAGTGGTCCTTTTCCTCCTCTTCCCAGGTCCTGGCCAGCAAACTCCTCTCTGTAGAGGACAGTGCCCCAGGATCCCAACTCTGGCCCCCGTCCCTCTTCCCCTCAAGCATCTGTGCCCCAGCAGGTCTCTCCACAATCTGAAGACCCCAAATTTTGAAAAAGGACCTCCGATGAGGCAAGTGGCTCTTTGTATCTGATGGCCATCCAGCCCCACAGGAGGCACCCAGGGTCATGTCTGGTCTCAGGAAGCATCCAGAGAGGTAGACCAGATGTCCGCACACCAGCAGCAGGACCTGAGAGCACACTTATAGGAAGGTGTATGGACACAGAGAGGCGGCCTCTCCCTATGGATACGGAGGCTGTCAGAGGACCCCGCAGGTGCACAGGTGTTTGCTGCTGGTGAGACACCAGGTCCCCACGACCAACACCACACAGACTGCTCCGTCTGGGAAAACCGACTTGTTTATGTGGCTGGTTCTCTCTTTAGCGGTTTCCAAAATGAGAAGGCTGGTTTCAGGGACGGTCCTTAAATATGTGGACATCTGTCTTTCAAAAGAAGAGAGGAGAAGGGGGGAGGAGGAGGAGGAGGAGGAGGAGGGGGGGATTCTCATGTGGTGCCTGGCAGGAGACATGGGGCTTTTGGGGGTGAGGGTGTGAATCCCACTGGGAAGGCGTGAAAGAAAACTCCAGAAAGGAGCACTAAGATCTCCAGGTTGGGACATAAAAGCACAACAGGAGGGAGGTGGCGTGTCTGCAGTCCACTGAGATCCCTTGTCGCATGTCACCATCGGTTAAGGGCAAAATCGAATCAGAAGATACTAAGAGGTAGCAGCTGTTGGTCTCTCAGAGACTCGGAGGCGCTCTGAAGCTGGACCAGGGAAGGGTGTTCTCCTGGGAGAGAGGGACTGGGGTGGGGTGGAGTTTGGGCTCCCACGGCGCTGGGAAAGGTGTGGGCCGATCCTCAGGGACCCTGCAGCTCGGGAGCCCTGAGGGAGCCTGCACCGTCTGCGGGCCCCTTCCCAAACCCCGAGTCGTTTCTGGGGTGTTACGCAGTCCCCACAACATATAAATAAAAATTTCGTTCTGTGTTTCCATATATCTTCTACAGGAAGGCTAGCTGAATATTAGTGGAGTAACAATAATTATTAATAACAATAGTCATCATAATAACAATAATTAATAGAATAATGCCTCGGGGAGGGGACGGGTCCTTCATGTGGCAGCGGGCCTGGGGCCTAGGTCTGGTAGAAGTGGTGGTAGTGGTGGTGATGTTCGTGGTGGTGGTGGTGCTCGTGTCTCTGGACCTGCCCGGCCGGGCTCTCGTACACCACCACGGCGGGCAGCTCCCTCATGTGCTCCCGCCCCAGGACCGCGCCTGCGCCCAGCGGCGCCTGCAGGCCCCGGCAGCCCGGCTGGCTCTCCTTGGCTCGGTGCTTGTGCTTCTTGTGCCCGAGGGGCGCCAGGGTGGGGAGGAGGGTTGGACTGGTGGCCAGGTGGGCCGAGGGGGACACCACAGGGACAGCAGGTGCCAGAGGGGGCTTGCTCCTTGCTCCTCTGGCCACGTGGCCCGCACCCATGCTCTTGCCCTGAGCCTTGGGGGATCTCACAAAGTGCTTGCTCCCATCCTGGGCGCCCCGGAGCCGCTGCTGGAGCTCGGAGACCTTGGAGAACGGGGTGTCAAGGAGGTGGAAGGAGCCTGGGTCCGCGCCTTGGGGCTTCCGGTGTGGGACGTGGACGGCTTCTGGCTCGTGGGAGCGAGATCGAGCGGGGTTGCAGGTGCGGGGGGGCAGTTCTGACTTCAGGACCACAGACGGGGAGCCTAGAAACCAATTCCACAGACATTTCATGAGCACCTACAGTGTGCGGGGGCTACCCCTCACCCCCAGAACCCCAAGAATGGTAAAGGCCAGCTCTCTCCGTTATCAGGGCTACCCACCCCAATGCCCCTCGCTGCCTTGAAGGGAAACTCTGAATGGAACTTCCTATCTGCTAAGTGGGAAGAACTGGTTCTGTAGTAGGTCTTCAAAAATAATAATTCTTCTCTGGGAGAGAGCTGGGGGACAGAGATGGTGACAGAGACGAGATAATAAGGTTGTTGGGGCAGGAAAGAATTCCAAGCAATTACCCAGAGGAGACTGTGGAGGACTCTCACAGGGGAAGGGGAGAGGAAGCCGGAGGAGGGAAATGATGGGCGGTTGGCAGGGTAGGGAAAGAGTCACCAGAAGCCAGAGTGGCCACGGTGGCAGCAGAGCTGGGGCGGGGGTGACGGAGCAGGGAGCCATTATGTTTTATCACCTTCTAAGTCCTCAGACACTCGATTTTGTGCCAATCTGTGCATGTATCGCTTTAAATTTGACAATGTTTTTAATGTCCCCTCCTCCAAACAGAGTCTCTGATCTGTCTAGTAAAAGCCACTTTTCCCCACAAAGCCCGGGGGAAGTGACCACCACTGGACATGGCGCGTCCAACCCATCCAGCCATGGCCCTCTGCTCCCGCCCCCATGCCGATGTCCCTTACCAGGCCCAAACTGGGAGGTGTAGTTCTCTATCCCTGCGAGGTCCAGGTAGTGGTTTCTCCTCTCGATGTTCTCGTCCACGCAATGGTGGTAGCAGCCGGCCTGCTCCGGGCGGCTGTCGCCCTGGAACCTGCCGTGAGGGAAGCCTGTGAGGGACCAGGCACTGGGCTCCGGGGGGCACCCCACAGGCTGCCAGAGGCCGCAGGACAAATACTGGACCCCTGGATGGTCCCTCTGGGTCTTGGAGTGAGGGGACGGGAGGACGGGACCTCTTGCAACCTCTGCCTCCATCTCCACCCTGCCCACGAGACACAGCCACCTGCCAGCCTCCTGCGGTTGCTGGGAAGAGTGGAGAGGTTTCCCCTTGAACAGGCCCAAAGCAGACATGCAGAGTTATTGGTGAGAATTCAAGGATACTCCAAACCAGGCTCAAGCCACAGGTACCCACTGCAGCCAGGCAGCCAGTACCCGGGTTCCCCAGGGGGCAGGGGCGCAGAACCCCCAGACCTGGTGTTGAGCCTGGCAGACTCCACGGCCTGCCCAAACCCAGGGGCCTCACCAGCACATATGTGTGTGTGGGTATTAGAGTGAGTGTGTGCGAGTGAGCAAATGCATGTGTGCATTGTGTGTGAGCATGTGTTTGTGTACATGTGTGCAGCATGTGTGTGTGCTATGGGTATGTCTACAGGTGTGGGATCTGTGTGTGGGTGTGGGCTTCTGCATGTCAGTGTGTGTGAGCATGTGTATATGTGTGGGCCAATATGTGTGATTATAAGCATGTGTGCAAGTGTGGTGTCATGTGGCTTAGAGTGTGGTGTGTGCCTGTGTGTTTACATGAGTGCACATGTGATTGCATGTAAGCCTATATGTGTGTTCGTGTGCCAATGTGTGCGTGAGTGCACATATGTACATGAGTGTGTGGGTTCACACATGTCTATTAGTGTATGAGTGTGTATGTGTGCATGTTAATTACATGCCTGTGAATGTGTGTGCAACTGTGTGCATGTGAGCATAAGAGTGAATGTGTATACATGAGTCTGCATGTCTATGTATATATGCATATGTATGCGTGACTGCACGACTGAGTGTGCCTTTGTGTGAGAATGTGAATGTGCATGCACGTGACAGTGTGTTGTGGGTATGTGTATCTGAACACACTTGTGTGCGTAATGTGGTATGTGTGAGCATAGGTGCATGTGTTGGTGAGCATCTGCACATGTATATTTGTGTGTATGTGAGCGTGTGTGTGCACCAGTGTATGTGTGTGGGAATATGTGTGGCAATTGGTGTGTGGTTTGTGTCCACAAGTGTCAATGTGTTCATATATGTATGTCTGCATGTGTTTGAAAGTATCATGTCTGTGTCAGGATGGGGCAGGTGTATGGGTTTGTGTATATTTATGTGTTGGTGCATGTCTGTGCACTTGTGTGTGCACATTAGTGTGCAACTGTAGATGTGTGCATGTGTGTGCATGATACAAGTGTGTTGTGTGTGTCAATGTGCTATGCATATGTATTCATGTGTACATCCATCTGTGTGTATGGTGTGTGAGTGTGTGTGTGCTTCTGTGTTTCTCTATGTGTGTGCCTGTTGTGTGAGTAAGCTTGTGTGTGTTTGGTGTGCAGGTACATGTACATGTGTACATGTGTGTGTACATGTGTGCATGTGTGGTGTGCAAGTGTGATGGATGTTTGCATATATGTGACTATGTGTGGGCATGTGATTACATTGTGTATGTGTATCTCCATGTCTTGGGTGTTTGTGTGTATGTGTCTGTATGGGGTTGCATCTGTGAATATGTATGCTGTTGTACATGTGTGCACATGCATGTGTGTTTTCACAAGTGTGTATATGTGCTTGTATTTGTGTGCATGGCCATGTGCACAAGAGTGTTCTGTCAGTGTGCACAGGAGTGTGACAGTGGGTGTGGGTATGGTGTGTGGGTGGATGTGCACATTAGTGTGTCTACACTGTGTGTGAGTGTGCATGCATGTTTGAGTGTGTCAGTGAGTGTAAGAGTGCCAGCACAGGCCTCCTTCCTCCCCTGCAGGATGCTGGGCCACCTGCTCCTCCTTCCAGTTCCACTGTGGTCTGCCCACCTCCTGCAGGCCAGCACTCCCCCCCAGCTGGCCTGGATGCCTCTGGCCTGGCCTCTGCCCGCCACGCCCTGCTCTGTCCAGCTGCCTTCTCCCTCCTGGAGAGGACTGACCCCTCTAGGTGCTTCCATGCTGTCCACCTGCAGGTGTGACTGGCTGCACACCTGCGGCTCTGTTGTCACTCAAAGCTTGTCTTTAAACAGCCTCTCCCATCCCCTTTGCAGGTGCAGAAGTGACAAGAGGTGACATAACTGCAGCCTCGTGAGCTGTTACCACAATTTTGAACCCCCTCCCATGTCTGAATAAATATGTCCCAGGCCACCCTAGGGAGGGAGAGGTACTTGGGCCTTTGTCTACTGCATGGGAACAGGCCACCTCACCCAGCAGGGACACCACCACGCGGAGTCCCAGGAGCTGCCCCAACCCCGTCCACAGTGAGGGGAGGTACGCAGGCACCCAGCCCACGCTGCGTCCACCCCACACACTGCCACGGGGCTCGGCATCAGCAACACGGGCCCGCAGCTCCTCAGCTTTCTAAGGGTTTGATTTGTGGAGCTGTGTGCGAGATCCTCGTCCCCTGAAGAGAGCCAGACTAGAGCCTCTGCTCGGAATCTCTCAGGTGCAGGCACACAGCTGGTGCTCAATAGGAGTCAGGACACCAGGCTGCCACGGGGGCCGTGCCTACCGTACCTGAGGGGCGCTCGCTGCCTCTTCTCCCAGCTCCGCAGGTCTTCGGCCGGCTTGGTCTCTGCTCTGGGCCTGGTGCTCTGCAGGTCTGAGGCCCCCCGCAGCACAAGAAGCATCTGATGAGTGGCTGGCTCCTGGCCCTGCCCGGGGCTGCCCGGCACGCAGCCACAGAAAACTGCCCACAGCAGCTTTGCCACCACTCTGTGGAAGGGTCCCTGAGCTGACACTAAACACAGGGGTCTCGCAGCTACTTGTCCCACTTACTGCCTGCTGGGACTCCTCAGCAGGCCTTCAAGGCCAGCCCCTGCCGTCCCCAGCTCCACTTGCTGGCTGCTTGCCAGGCCCAGGCCACCTGCACACCTGTGCCAGAGCAGGGCCTCCCTTGGGGAACCCTCCCCTTCCCCACCCCCGGCCTAGCCCTTCAGGACCCACCAGACCCCCACTGGTGCAGAGTGGCTGCCTGCAGAGCCCGGGAAGCCCCTCCCTCTCCAGGCACTGCCCACTGGACATGGTCGGGCCCTCACCGGCTCGACTGAGGAGGGTGCTCCTCTTGCTCTGGCTCCCATCGGGGGCCACGGTGAGCTTCACCCGCAGCGTCTTGCTGGAGGCCGGGGAGTGGTTGACGGAAGAGTCGACCACCTCGTAGATGGTGTGCAGCAGGCTGGTGATGTCCTGTGGGGAGCAAGCGACACCCGCCGGGGGTCAGCACAGCGCCCTCACAGGCCTGCTTGGCGCTCACTGCTGGGACCCCCGGCCGCCCCAAGCAGAGACGGAGGCAGAAGCGTAGATGGGGGGCTGGATCGGGAGGCCCTAGAAGCAGGAGTGAGAGCAGCGCGGACGAAGGGAGAAAACCATACAGCAAAACTCAGAGGGCAGGTCACAGGCACAGGCCACTGGGCACTCTGAGGGACCATGTGCAATCTGTCCCCAGTAGCCTTGCTGCTGGGTGGTGGGTTTACAAACCGGCCCCAACCCTCCCACTCCCTAGAAAAGGTGCCCCATGGGTGCCACACCCTGTGCTTCTAGCCTGTCCTGCAAGGGCTGAGCTACTCCCCGCACCACAGGAAGCTCTCTGGCGGGGCACTGTCCCCAGAGCACCAGGTGGACCGAGAGGTGGACCCAGGGAATATGGAGCTGGGGCACGGGTAGCATCTGAGCAAAAAATGGAAACGCAGATGTGTCCCTACTGGGACGGACTTGGCCCTCCCCGTCCTATGCCGACTGTCCAGGGCTGGCTGTGGTTGGCCTAAGGCGGTAATTAAATTGAAGCCCAGTGAGGTCAAGGAGGTGGGCCTGAATCCTCCAGGGCTGGTGCCCCTGTAGGAGGAGGAAACGGCAGAGCCTGCTCACTCTCCGTCCCGACAGGAGGCAGCGGGAGGGTAGCCCTTGCCACCAACCGGGTCAGCTAGGGTCTCCAGCTTCGACTCCCGCCACCCGAAATCTGAAGATGCACTCCTGTTGTCAAAGCCACCCAGTCTGCGGCCCTCGGTTACGGCAGCTGAGCTGCCCAAGACAGTCCCTAGAAGACAGTCTGCAAGGACCTGACCAAATCTCCTCTCTCTGGGCCTTGGTGACCCCCTGAACCCTAACTGGGTCTCCAACAGCATCCGTGTCGCGAAGACTCTGAGAGGTGGGGAGGTCCCAGTCCCCCTGGATAGGCCTCCCTTGGTTCTGGGATCTGCTAGGGTCTTTTGTGAGGGCAGCTTCTGCTTTAAATGATATTGGAAACTTCTGGAAAAGATCTTTCCTCTCCGTCCACCAGGTCCACAGACAGTTTTCTGCTCATCAGCTCTGACAGACTCCACCTCCCTTTCCTCCTTTGGCCGAGGAGGCAGAGGAGGCAGAGGAGGGAGAGGAGGCCGAGGAGGCAGAGGAGGCCGAGGAGGCAGAGGAGGCCGAGGAGGCAGAGGAGGCTGAGGAGCCCCAGGCTGCGTGGCCGGGCGTGTGGCAGGGGGGAGCTGAGTGGTGGGGTCAGTCTGGAGCCAGTCCCACCCACGGGAGGGCAGTCACTCATCTCAGCTGACTTGCCCCTTGACTCTGCAGGCTGAGGGTCATCTCAGAGAAGCCAGAAATCCAGAACCTTCTGTAAAATCCTCGGAATCGTTGATATTGACAACTCACTTTAGTTTTTAACTAAAGCCTCGGAAGGACCAGGTCACACGTGTGGGGGTCTGACTGAACTGGGGGGGCTGCCGGCGACAGCCAGGCTCCAGGCCTCACTCGGGGTCTCCTCGACTCTCCCGGCTCTTTGGGCCAGGCCCATGGGGACCTGCCCCTCCCTTCCTTCCCTGAGCCTCTCTGCACAGCGCTCGTCACCCTCTCTCTCGCCATCTTGGGAAGCCCACGGAGGAGGGGTGACCAGGAAGGTGAAGCGATCGAAGTCCACCCCCCGCATCCCCAAAGCATCAGATGCCATAGAGGGCGCGGGCCCCGCCTTGTGGCCTCAGCAGGTCCTGGCTGGTCCAGGGTCAAGGATGAGCCTCGGCAACTCCACCGTGAGGAGCCGCCCGTGGGAGCAGAGGGCAGGCATGCAGCAGGAGGCCCTGACCCTGTGCTCTGCAGAGGTCCCCAGGACCAAGGTGGGGCCTTCCTGGAGGTCTCCAGGCCATCGGGAGTGTGTCCTCAAAGGGAACTGTGCGACTCCAGCTCTGGTCCTCTTTCTCTACTTCCTGGCCACGAGGTCAGAGGTTCTGCCCATAGAACGTGCCACCCACCACAGGCCCAAAGGCCACAGGGCCAACCAAACACGGACTGGAACCTGCAACCTGAGCCGAAATGAGCCTTTTCTCTTGACAAGCCGACCGTCTGCTGCTCTGTGACGGCCACGGACAGCGAACACCGTTGCCCGTAAGCATCGACTATAAGTGCTCCCTGACCCGGGAGGAGATAAAACAGCTGAGCCTCTCCAGGGACACTGCGGAGTCCCCCGTGCTGGACCAGGGGCAGATGGGGAGCCCAGCCATGCCGATTCCTGAAGCAAAGGGATGACACCAAGCCGCCCGCAGGCCCCTTCAGCACAGAGAATCAAACACAGTTGCCCTCCAGGACGGGCCCCGCGGACCCAGGCCCGAGCCGTGTCTCTCCTGCGAAGCAGCCGGCCTCCTTCAGCTCCCCCAGGCCTCAGGCTCGGCCTCCCCTCCCTGCCCTGCAGCCTGCAGCTGCCGCTCAGTACCCAGCCTCCCCCTCCAGGGAGCCCTCCCTGCACCCTGCAGGCTCCACTGACCACCCTGCTAATGTCCTCCACAGAACTCAGCGGCTGACGCCATCCTAAAATGGTCTTCCATGCCCACTGGCCATCAGAGCCAAGAGGTGAGGAGCCCTGCTGTCCGTCCCCGCCGTGTCCTGCAGCTGGCGTGGAGCAGGTGCCCGGCTGGCGAAGCCAACGGCATGGAGAAAGGGCGAGAGGAATCTGGGGGAGCCAGCTGTGGGAGGAGGGCTCTGAGGGGGAGAGAGGTGGCCAGGCGGAGGGGGCAGGACGAGGGAGACCGCGAGCCACGTGCCGGGCTCCGCGAGCAGGGCTGCTCATTCCTGTGACAATGGCAGGAGGGGCCGTGGGGCCTGGGGTGCCTGCCCTGCCCAAGCTCCTGAACCAAACAGCCGGGCACCGGAAGTGGCCTGGGGTGGCCAGGCCCCGCTCCTAGAGCTGGGGACGTAAAGAAGCCAGCCAGGCAGGACTCTCCTGGGACCGGTCCTTCTCCAGGGCAGTGTGGGCCTCCTGCCCCTCCCCAGCAGCACTGGCCAGGCTCAGTGCAGGGCCCGGGTGCCCTTTCCTGTCCGTCACCTCTCCCCACGCTCCTGCGGCACCAGGAGGGCCGCTGCATTTCCTGAAGCTCCTGGCGCCTCGCTCCGCACCCGCCAACCCCAGCCACTGCCAGCTGCACCTTCTCCCAGGAGCAGACTGGCCGGGCAGGGGAGTCAGCAGAGGCAGAGGGCCAGGTCCCCAGGCCCAGGGGCCTGACGGTGGCCAGGAGACCCACAGGGGCACTCACCTCGCGGGTGACCTTGCCATTGTTGTCAAAGTCATACAGGGTGAAGGTCCACTCCTGCCGGCTGTCCTCCTCCACGGACACATCACACTGTAGCTCCTGGACACAAACGGACGGACAGGGCTGGTCACCTACCACATGGACACTGGCCAAAGACTTGGGTCCAGAGGCCAGGCCATGGGGCAGCCCCCTGGCTTCCCCAGACCCTGAGGGAAAGAGGAACACAATGACCCACATGTGACCAGCGAGAGACCCACAGGGCACAGCGGTCTCTGGGTCTTCAAAGGCAAGGGAACGCCATCCGGGAGGAGGCTTCGTGGCCTCAGGGAGGCTGAGCCTGCACCAAGGGCCAGAGCCACTGGAAGGCAACTGGAAGCCAGGCAGGACCCAGGACGGGCCACCTGAGCAGCAAGGCAGCAGAGGATGGCCGGGGACAGCTGAAACTCCAGGCTCCACCAGGCCTCGCCCGGCTTGGCTCTCCACAGCTGTGGACCCTGGGGCCACCGCGTCCTCGGGTGCCTCAGTTTCCCCTCCATAAACCACGGAGAATGACAGCTTCTAGCCCATCACACTGTGGAGAAGAGGAAACTCTTCCCCGCAGCCGCAGCACGGTCCACCTCCCACCACCGGCACCTGCGTCTCCTGCTGGCGCAGCCCCGAAGACCCCAGAGGCACCCTGGACAAGGGCGGGACAGGAGCCAGGGGACAAACACCCACCTCCTCACCTCTCCATGGGACACACTGAGCGCATTCTATCTGGCTCCTCTGTCCCCAGAGGGACAGAGCCCCGGTTGCCGGTGTAGGTGACCTGTGTGTCACCCCACCCTTTATGAGCCTCTCTCCCCTGCTCCCAAGCACCCCCTCTTCCTGGGGCCCTTCCAAGACACCGTCCATCCCCATGTCCTCATCTAAGGTCCACTCTGCAGGAAGGGAATGGGGAGCACGGGTGGCACACTCTGCACTCAGCACACTGTTGGCACCCAGGAGAAGCCAGTCGATGGCGGCTGTCCTCTTTGCTCTGATGGTTAACCCAACTCCTCACTGCGACTGGCAGAATCCATGTCTAACTCCAGGGACCCGAACTGGGAAGTGGTGCGCTCCGTCACCACGGTCTGTAGGCGGAGGCCAGCTGGGATCACAGGGACAGTGCTCCAATGAGCGCCACTTGGGGAAAGAGGCCCTCAAGAGCCACCAGATCAGTACACCTGAGGACAGGTGTTCCCCGAGGGCCTCAGTCCACCTGTCCTTCCTCTGCCACATGCAGGCGCTGGCTCACAAGGCAAGACGGCGGGCTCTGCCCCCAGAGGGGGACCTGGCCTGCGTAGGCTGGCAGGAGTGTGCTCAGCCTGGCCTCCCTGCCCGGCCTCCCTGCCTGGCCTCCCTGCCCAGCCTCCCTGCCCAGAAGCCGTCTGCTCCTCTGGAGGCCCCCTGAGTTCAACGTTGGCCTTCCTGAGTGTTGACGAGCCCTTGTGCTACGCGCCAAGGCCTGCCCTGCTCTCCAAGGGTGTCACAACACATGTGCCTTCACCAACACACACCCACGCACGCCTATCCCCCACCTACCCATCCACACACCTATCCTCACACACACCCACACACGCCTAATTACCACACCGACCCCCCCACACCTCCCCACACCTATACACACACGTCCACACCCATGCCTGACCACACACCCCTACACACGTCCACACCCACACCACCCGCATACACACCTGTGCCCACACACACCCACACACATGCCTAACCACACGGAGCGTCCACCGTTTCCGAGACAGTTACACCAGGCCCTCGGAACGCGAGTGCGGCCATCACCCGGCCTCCGTGGTGCGCACACTCCTCGGCCCGCCCTACCCACCTGGGCTTTTCAGGTGAGCGCTCTCCACGGGCCACGCACGGCTCAGTCCCAAGCAGTCAGCCGCCCCCTCCAGAAAGAGCACCCTGGGGCTTCCAGCAGCCAGACGCCTGGGTCTGGACCTTCCTCCGGCTGCTGGCCTTGGCCCTCAGCTTTGCCAGGCACCCAGAAGACCCTGTGGGGACCCAGGTGGGCTCAGGACAGGGCTGAGCTCCAGGAGAAGGGGGCAGCCCTAGCCCCTCATGGACACCCTGCCTGGACCGCCCCTGGCCGGTCTCCCCCGCTGCCCCCAGGCCCACCACCCCTGGGCAGGCCCCCACAGCAGATCCCACACACCAGGCTGGGCCTTTCCAGGCCCCATGCTCCTGCTGGCCCCTGTGCCTGAAGGTCCCTACTGTCCCAAGGGCTCCCTGGCACCCTCGCCCCAAACCTACTCCTGCACGCAGAGGCGCAGCCCCACACACTGCCCCTCCGCAGGCACCGCGGTGTGAGACGGCCAAAGCATCCCCTCCTCTACCCCTGTCCCCACCTCTGCCTGCCCTGGGTGACCACCCGCCCTTCAGATCCCCATCTCATCGCTGACTGAGCGGCCACTAGTCTGGGTCCCTCTTCTGTCCCCCTGACCACACTGCTCACTCTGTAAGGGTAAGATCCATGCCCAGGTCACTGCTGGACCCCTGGCCACCAGCAGGTGCCCAACCCGCACTGGTGGGAAAGCAGGGACGTGTGGACTGTGAGGGACACCCTCTTCAGCAGCGGGTGCCCCACGGCCTCCCTGTGTGCTGAGATCACGGAGGCCGAACTGCTAAGGACTTGCCCCAGTCACAAGAGCCGCCTCCGAGCCCTGCGCTGGGGCCTTGGGTGGAGAGCACAGGGAAGGGGGAGGCAGGGAGGGCCCAGAGGGCAGGCGAGCTCCGCGCAGTGGCTGGGTCTGCTCTCACCCCTGGCCCTGGGCTCCGGGTGCAGACGGGCCTCGGGCACCGCTGGGGTCAGGCCAGGGGCAGGCCTCAGAGAGGAGCTCTGGGAGGGCACGTGCCTATGCTGACCCCACGGAAACGGAGGCCTAGTCACCCCCCACCTGAGAGCCCCACCTGTGGGCCAGGCAGCCTCCAGGGGCTGCCAGCGAGGCCAAGGAAACGAGGCCCAGAGAGGACGCAGCAGCACAGGGTCAGAGCCGGCCCTCCCTCCACCCCAGGCCCTTCCCGGGTGCTCTGCCCCTGCCCACACGGCGAGGCCAGGGACAGGCAGCACGGGGTCCCCGGGGCCGGGGCTGAGCCAAGGACACCCTGGGGTAGCAGCAGGAGTCTCTCGCAGTGGGTGGCTCCTCAGGTGAGGGCCCTCTCGTCTGCCCATCACACAGGAAGGGACGGCCCGGCGTCTCCCCCGGGCTCGGCCCCAGCAAGGGACACTCACTTCGAACTTCAGCTGCTTCTTGGAGCCCGGGCAGGATTCGCTCCCCCTCTCCAGCCTCTTCCCGTCTCCGCCACCTGGGCCTGGGCCTGGGCCGTCGGTCTTCTCGGGCGGCAGGGCCACTGCAGGGGGAGAGAGAAAGCATGAGGGGAGGGCTGGAGGGGGGGCTGCAATGGCTCTGTCCCCAGGGGCTGGAGTGGAGGACACCCTCGCCACAGTGCCCGGCGCACGCCTGCCTTGCCCGCTGGCCAGCGCTGCAGCCCTCGACTCTTGGCCCCGGGGAGGCCCGGCTGCCCGAGGGGACTCTCCATGGTGCATCCCCACCAGTCACTCAGGGTACCGCTGTGGCCTGGGCTCCCCACTCGCTGTCATTTTGCAGCTTAGGTAAAGCAGCCTGTGACTTTGGTGCCCCACAGGGACATGGCCACTCGGGGCAGGCTCAGGCCACAGAGCAGGTGGATGAGGGCACAGAGGAGCATCAGGAGCCAGAGAAGGAAACACAGGGGCTACGGCCATTTCCTGCACTGTCCTGCTGCCTCCTGTGGTGACGTCCTGGCCTTCTCAAAGATGCCACCCGCCTGGCCCAGCATATGGACATTAGTGGGCAGACAGGCTGAGTGGCAGACAGCTCAACTGGGTTGACCGACAAAGGGACAGGCGCGCCAGCGCCTCATACCAAGGGTCTCCGGGGCTGCTCGCCCTGAGCCTTGTGTGCCCACTCTGCTGGCCCAGGTCCCCCTCTGCCCGAGGGCTTGGTTCTCTGTGTGTTCTTTCAAGAGCAGAAGGAGGAGGACCTTTGAGCACCTCTTCCCTGTGGACACCTCTGAGAGATGGCAGAAGGGCAGCTCCGGGCAGCACCCTCAACCTGGACCCAGGATCCAGGCTACAAGTCCCTATCTGAACTTCAAAGGCCATCAGGACCTGCCCGGTCCCTCCTGCCCGGCCCGGCCCTGCCCGGCAGAGGAAGCCTGGATTATTGTGCCCGACACGCCCACAGCCCCTCCCTCCTTAAATCCCCTTTGCTGACCTGGGGCCGCCATTTCCTGGTCCCCCTCAGGCACCTCCCCTGGCCATCCCGACTCCGGGTGGCCAGACTGGCAGGAGGCCCTGTGAGGAGCTGAGGGGCCCTAATCAGTCAGAGGGCACGGCTGGACTTCAGAATGGCAGGAACCTGGAGACACGGGTGCCTGGCCAGGAGCGTGGTGGGCACTTTGCCCCCCCACGGGCTCGCACACCTGGCTTGGCACACGTGCCCCGTGAGCAGCTGGGGGGAAGGACGGCTGGGCTCCCTCGTGGGGCCAGGGCCACAGCCCTTCCCAGCTCCTGTCCTGAGGTGGCCGCTCTTCCCAGCAGTTCTCTTCAGTGACCCTTCCTGCCAGGCCCGGGGCCTCCATGTCTGGGCCACCATGCCCGGGCCCTGTGCACACGGCCGAGCACCCGCCGTCTCCCACCTTGGTCCCGCGGGCCCGGTGAGGCAGGTCCTCCCATTAGCTCCATTTCCCACAGGGGGGCTGGGGTGCGAAGGGTGCGGCGGGGACAGGACAGGGCTGGGACCTGGGCCACCTGCCAGGCTGCCCCGCGGGGCCCTTCATTCTGTCGCCGGCCTTTTCCACTGACCGGGGAGCGCTCTGTCTCTGCCCGGGTCCAGGTCCCCCCAGCACTGACCCTGAGTGGGTCCTGAACCTTCCCTGGGTGTCACCTCCCCAGCTGTCAAGCAGGGACGCTAACGGCTCCTTCCCAGGGGACTCGGGTGAGGACTCCATGAGCCGGACTGTGAAGGGCCAGAAGGCCGGGCCAGCACACGGTCCAGGCCCCCAGCAGGTCAGGGGACTCAGGCCCCACCGGGAGTCCTCGGGGAGTCAGGGGGCGCCTCAATCCACCCAACAGGTTGGGGGCAGGTGGGAGGGCGCCGGAGCTGGCGCAGACAGGGCGGGGTCAAGAAGGCCACCCCAGCACCCACAGCGGCCCTCCCCAGCTCCCCACAGCCCCGTCCTCGTCTCCCCCACTCCATCACAGAGCGCCTCCATCCCTCCGTCCCCTACAGCACAGTGACAGTTTCTTAAAGCCATCGGGAGCACCCGTGGGGGCCTGGGTACAGAAACTGACCAGCTCCTTTGCTGCACCTGAGTTTGTGGAGCTGCACAGACGAACCCAACTGAGCGCTGACCTAGAAGGACAGCAGCGTCCCCCTGGAGGGCCGGGCCCTGGCGCCCTGGCCCCGGGACAGAGGCTGGGGCAGGTCGCCGGCGTCACCTGTGACACAAAGCCCTCACCCCTGCTCCTCTAAAGCAACCCCCCAGGGCAGGGTGCCCCACTCCAGGGGGTCCCCAAGCCCCCGGAGGCCAAGCAGGTGACCAGCTGGGGACCCAGGGACAGTCAGCATCCAGCCTGGACCGCCTGCTGGGTCAGAGCTGCCACCTCACGGGCCCAGTCACCTCCACCAGGCCACCAAGCAGGTGGCACTCCTGCCATCCCGAGTCGGGGAGCTGGGGGTCCCCCTGTCCCAGCACTGAGTGAAGCCATTAGCCCTAGAAGCCCCCAGCCTAACCCGCAGGTGCAGCTGGGCTGGGTAGGAGTGTCCATTGAGAGGGCACATTGGAGGCCATGTCCTTCTGACTCTGCCACTGGCTGGCCTGGGCAGCCTTGGACGAGGCCCTTGATGTCTCTGGACCTCAGTCCCCTTTCTGTAAAGTGGAGACTCAGGCACCTCCCTCACAGAGCTGCTGGGAGAGGGCCACGAGGAGACTGCTCCCAGTGGCTGGCATACAGTAATCACTCAATAGATGCTGGCTTTGGAAAAGATGTGGCTGAGCCATGGTCCCAGCCGACAGCCCAGATCCACATGATGCCCTTGTTCCAAAACTGTCCCAACTGAGTAAAACCAGGAAGACAGGGTGCCCTGCAACGGCCCCCTCCACGCCCCCTCCCCGGCCGTCCTCAAAGTCACAGCTTCCACCCGGGGCCAGAGATGCTAGTGGGCAGGCTTCTCGAAACCCAAGTTCAAGTTCAAAGGGATGTGATCAGAAAGGCACCTTCAGGATCAGTGTGGCCTTTCATGGTCCACCTCCGTCCTCGTCCTCTCCTGGAGCACCCACCCGGGCCACGCCCGGGACAGCCCGCGTCCCCTCAGGTCCTCCCCTGTCCCCTTCCCTTCTCCTCACCCCGGTGGGGCCCCCCACCCTCACACGGCTTCCCCAGAGCCCAGCCTGGCCGACTGTCCTCTGCACCTCATCCCAGCCCAGCTCCAAAGACCTCGCAGCCAGGGGTCACCAGCCTGGGACAGCACACATGGGGAGAAGCACTGTGACCCAGGGTCGGGGACAAGGACAATAAAAGCATCCCTCTGTCCCCACCCCAAGCCTTTCCACCTTTTGCTGTCCCCCACCCGAGAGGCGGAGGCAGAGAACCCATCCAACGCCACCCAGGCCCCAAGCCGGGGGCAGAGAGTGGGGCTCAGGGTCCCTGAGGCTGATCCAAGAGGATCCTCGGACGTCCCCAGGGCACCCCGTGCAGAGCAGAACCCACCCCCGCGGCAGGCTCCGGGGAGGCAGCGAGGGTGCTCACGCAGGCCGTGGTCACACCAGCCGGGACAGAGGGACAGCATTTTGTTGAGATAGACTTTGGCATCTGAGCCTCCTCTACCCTCTGCCTCTGATCCAAAAAGAAGGGAGGGGAAGTAGGAAGCACTTCCTGCAACAGTGCAGAAACTGGGAAATGCAGTGCTCTTTGAATAAAGTTTTATTGGGACACAGCCACAATCACACACGTTGTCTCTGGTGACTTCTGCCCCTCAAAAGCAGACTTGAGCAATCACATCAGAGACTATATGGCCCACAGAAGCCAATGACAGGTACTATCTAGTCCTCTGCAGAAAAGTCTGGACAGTTGCTTTGTGCAAATGCAGCCCTCCACCCCAACCAGGGTGCCTGCTTGATGAACTGGATTTCACCTACAACTTTTTCTTCTTTATCTGGAAACCCTTGTGCAGTACACAACCTGCCCAACCATACACGGTGGCCATGGAAGATAGAAAATTTCCACTTTGCTTTCTTAAAACTGATTCTCAGTCCCAATGAGTCTGGGGACAGTTTGTGGAGCTCTTTCTGTTTGGAAGCTGCTTCCTATCCCTCCTTCCACCACAGCCCCAGCCACAAGGAGTCCGCTCTGTGTTTACCAAATGACAATCCTCTCCCACATTAGCTCCCAACCTGGCTGCTCTCCACCCCCAACAACTGCCAGATTAAATGCATTACTTGACCGTCTTCACCCAGCTCGCTTTGATGTTCCCTTCTCAAGCTTCAGAATACCTTTTGGAGGGAGATCAGACAGCATTAAACAGAATTACTAATTAATTAAGCAAAGTTAAATTTTAAACACTGTTTGTTGTGTTAGCCAAAAGCCTGAACAGAACAGACTTTTTTCCTCCACTGAGATCAAAGACAGTCTCTCCCCTCTCCCCTCCCCCAGTTTAAAAAAAAAAAAGGGAGGAGGAGGAGGAGGAGGAGGAAGAAAGAGAGGAGATACCTGAATGTGGCAAATCTGATCACAGTCTGGACTCCAGCCCCCGTCTCCTTGGGCCCAGTGGGAGGCACGGAGGCCCATCTGGGACTGCATGCTGGGAGAGCCTCATGGTCACTTTCTGGGGACTGTTTACCCTAGCAAATAGCCGTGACCCAGGGAGCAGGTCAGCACAGCCCACCCAGCCAGAGCTGCTGAGGACGCGCGCCCCCGGACAGCGGGGGTGGGACGAGGGCTGAGAAATGAAACAGGCCGTCCCTCGCGGCCCCACCCTCCCCAGCCACCCAGCACACCTCGGGGCTGTCTCCCTGTGGTTTGGGGTCACTTGGGGTCACTGGGAGGCAACTCTGAGGGGCAGGTAGGCACTGCGCCACCCCAGGCGGCACCGTTGACATGTCAGACACCACAGATTTGTCGGGATCGCTTGTGACATTTCTCAACAGATGGCAGGCAGGTGTCTGAGGAGGACCAGCCTCTAATAATAATTGGGACCGATGCATCTGGAGCCCGTGGGGCGTGTCTACCTCTGTGCAGCGTCACGGCCGAGGCTGCGCGGTCTTTCTGGGAGCTTCCGAGGGCTGCGCAGCCAGAGCGCACGTTTTGG